GGGAACATCATCAAAGAAGGGACATTTTAAGAGCCAGAGGAATAGGATGCTTACTGCTAGTTAATGCATTCTAGTCATGATAGGGAAGCTGCACCCGTGAAATCTCCACAGTGTAGTAGACTAACTGGATCTGCATCGTGACAAAACCAGCTGACATGCTAGTGTAGATGGGGGGAATTTCACAGTGGTCCCACCTCCAGATGTAGAGCTATAGGCAATTAATGGATACTGTGGAAGGATAAGTAGTTTTCTCTAGGGACTGGCTCCCTGATAGGTTATCTAATCCCAAGTAGTCAGCTCTAAACACATGTATGTTCGATCACCACTAAATGGACTCAGTGCATGATATATGTGCATATGTGTGTGTGTGCGTGTTGTGTGTGTGTGTATTTATAAATGTATGTATATGTAATAATAAAGAAGACAAGAAACTGAGAGGGGGACATTTGAGGAGTTGTACAGGGGCCTAGAAGGGGTGAAAATGATGTAAATACAATATTCATGTATGAAATTCTCAAAAAATTATTTAAAAAATTAGAGCCTTCATGAAGGCATAATGGCATACTGATTCAAGCAGTCCAAGGGCATTGGCAGATGCTGCTGAAGAGGGTTTCATGCACTAAGAGCCTTGAGTCTTCCTTTAAGGCCAGCCAGCTTTCAAGGAATTATTATTATAGTGTAAATTTTTAAGTTACTGGTATGTGTGTATGTTGTGTGTGTGTGTGTGTGTGTATGTCGTGTGTGTGTATAGGTCAGAGGACAACTTTCAGGAGCTGGCTCTCTCTTTCCATTGTGGGTTTCTGGGGATTGAACACTGGTTGTCAGGCTTGCAGAGTGAGCACTTTTGCTCACTGAGCCATCTTGTCACTCCCCTATATTGTTTCTTGCTATGAATTTTCTCGGGTTCCTTGAGCTTTGTGTATTCTCTAAAGAGGGAGCTGTGGGGTCTCTCCCTCTCCTCGTGGGTCATTGGCCACCGGTCCACGAGGACAAGGGGAGCAGAAGCGACAAGGGGGGTCAGGACGGCCAGTGAGCACTGATGGAAGAAAGCCCTTCCGGGGAGGCAGGTTTAACGATGCAAACAGCTCCAGACTCAGACAGCTCTAGATTCAGTGAAACAGCTCCGTTTACTCAGTGGGAGAACTGGGGAAAATATAGTGCGGAGGCAGTAGCCAAAGCCTCAGCTGATAGGTGCTCATAGTATGCCTTATTTACATGTGGTAGTGGGCTCCTACTGTCCAACGACCAGGCAATGCCTGATTATCATATAGAAAAAACCTGGGGGTAGTTTTTACTCCAGGTAACTATGCCAAAGGTCATGTTCCAAATAAGGTCAGGCATCCATGCTTGGTAGCACTTTCCAGGTAAGCCAGGAAGAGAGCAGGAGGCCCCCTGCTGAAAAGGGGAGTCCTTCCATTTGGCCCCGAGCCCCTTAGGGCTATCCGGACATGGAGGACTACAACCCTAACAGCAGGGTTTCCCAACATCGAGCAATGTTATCCTACTCCTTGCAAAATCAGAATTCTCATACTATTAAAACAGACCTTTCTGGAAAACATTTGTATAGGATCAATCAATATCTTAGTATTTACTGAGAATTTACTATGTTCCAAATAAGAGACTTGTGAAGGAGTATAAAGGCTAACAGAGTTTCAGACAGTGCCCCAAGAGACTGGCTGCATTCTTATTGCAAAGTGAGCTGAGACTCAAGGTCATTGACTGCAGTAATTGAAAGGTGTATTCTCCCTGCACCACCCTGGGTATGCTCCTTGTCTCCAGTGACAGTGACTCTCTTCTCACCTAAAGAGTGGCCTTTTCCAATTCGTGACATCATTTAATTGCTGGAAAGGCAGATTTCCGTGTAAAGGTAGTCACAATGCATGAATGAGTCAAGAACAGTAAGTGCTGAATCAGTTGGAAAATACAATTCTGCATGAGCTCAGAGTAATCACTGGTGGCTGTTGTGGCCAGGAAAAGATGATTGAGGGTAAAATAACCAAGAATGCTTACTCTTGCTATAAGTTCATGTGTCTATCTTTATTAATATTGGTGCCATACAAAGATACCATTAGTAGTTAATATTTGTTCTTTTTCAATGGCTTTAAAAATTTCAACTGACAAAAATTATGTACAACACAATACATCAATGTATGCCTGCCATACACAGTGGCTACATCAGGCCAAGTAACATCCATGAACTCATATACTTATCATTCTTTTTTTGTGTGGTGAGAATTTTTCAAATGTACTTGTAATTTGAAGTATATATCACATTATTATTAACTACAGGACCATCATCTGACTTCTTTCTTTCCTAATGAAAGTTTGCATGTCAGCCTTGCCTATAGATCAAGCTGATCTTGTCTGTGTGGTTTCAATTTTAGTACCTGTGATGTCAAAATAAGTACTAGTTAAAGTTAAGGAGTGCTTACTGTGTGCCACGTACTCATTTCTGCACACTATCAAATAACACTATGTACAGCATAGTAATTTATAGCCAATCTATTTTGTGATAGGAGCCATATCAGATACACACACACACACACACACACACACACACACACACACACACACATTGTGTGAGGAGAGAGATATCACACACACACACACACACACACACACACACACACACACACACACAATTTCATATGATTTGCATAAACACCCCTGTATGGATCCTGTCACCATTTGCCCCCACAGAAACCCACACAGTGGCAGAGCCAAGCTTCTAGCCCCTTTAGGTGACTCCACAGTCCCAGTTCTGTCTGCCATGCTCAACTGCCTGTTCTGGAGAGTCCCCGTCTTCTGTGAACTTGTGCTCCAGTTCTTTCTCGTCTTCAGCTCTAAAATAAAACAAAAAGGCATAAGTAGTAGAAGTAAAGCCTGTGGGTCGTTTGACTTTAGTCAACCTGATGGTCATGAACTGAGCCAGCACTCAAGTCCTTTCCTCAGTCCTGAGAGCAAAATTGGCAAGTAGTTTAACAGACATCCATTTTCATTAATAAATAAGGGCTGTATCACTAGGAACCCAGCATAGTCCTAATATATAGTACATATAAGTAAAACCAATTGTGAACTGTCTTGTAGTGAGGACTCTTAATTTAGTACTCTAAACATCTGAGCCCTTCACAATGATTCAAAAACCCCTGTACTGACTGAGCGTGTGGATGGTTGTGATGGTTACAGTGGTAAGGAGGGACTTTTCTTGTACTACCTTGAATTGGTCATGGCTTTTGAGTTCCACTTGATTTAGAATTATATTTTGACAATTATAAGTTTTAGGCTTACTTTCGTGAATCATTTTGTTCTTTAAATATCATTTTAAATTTTTATGTATTTTATTATTATTATTATTTTGATGTATGTGTAAGTGCATATTGTGTTCATGTGCCCAGAGAGGATATTGAGACTGACATGGTGGTGCACAACTTTAGTCCCAACCGCTCGGGCAGCAGAGGTAAGCAGATCACTGTGAGATTGAGGCCAGCCTGGGATGATGGTCTACATAGTGAGTTCCAGGCCAGTGGAGGCTCATAGTGAGACCTTGTCTCAAAAAATTTTAAAAAAAGAGCCAGTTGTGGTGGCTCATGCCTTTAATCTCAGCACTTGGGAGGCAGCAGCAGGCGGATCTTTGTGAGTTCGAGGCCAGCCTGGTCTACATAGGGAGTTTTAGGCCAACTGGGGCTACAAGAAAACCCTGTCTCAAAAAGACAAAAAAAAAAAAAAAAAAAAAAAAAA